AAGCGAAACAAACACGTACTCCGCCTTGCTCTCAGCATGCATGTACTATATGATCGCCTGAGCAAGGCCATAAATTTGGAGACAGGGGTAACAAGTCATAAAATTTCCTTGGGAACACTAAACATGGCAATAACTCTTGTCCAAAGCCTCGAGATTTACAAGGGAATTTCGCACACGGTGAGTAATGAAGTATTGCACGTGTACTTGTATGACTAGTTTCTTAGCTTGCTCTTATCGGTTATAAAGCTTTGTTTTCTTTCCAGTAGCTTTCATACCCAAAAAAGTCTTCTGGGAAGGAGGGGAAGCAACATCTCTACAATCACACACTCATTTTTTGGGGTGTCAATTTGGCATTTGAAAGGACCAGGTTTACAACTGTGACAATATCAATAACAGCAAGTGCAATACTGTACTTACAATTTAAGAATAAGAACAAAAACTTCTCCTGTGCTAATATTTATCAAACTCTTGGTCATGGAATAAGGAAGCCAACATTCATGCCCCAGCTCAACCAGAATCACTTTATTTTTGTGGAAATTTTTATGTGTGCCCAGTCTCCCAAAGTGTCAGGACTTAAAAAGAAATTCAATTTCAAACCTCCCTGAGTTCCCTTGTGCATTTACATGTATGAATTAAGAAAGAAAAGGTATTTGCCATTTACCAGACCATGAAAATATAAAATCCAACTCAAAGTAAAATAATTTTAACTTATAGTGTTTTAAATTTACCTTTATCATAGGCTAGCAAATTTAATGGCTCTGCTAAGGTAATAAAAGTGGGTGTGGCAAATGAGGATGTTACCCTTAGAATCTTAACAATGAAAGGGCCATACACAACTGCCCGCCGCATCTACACAAGCTTTTCCTCGCACTGCCGTCCAAATGTCAGTCTGGTACAAAAGTCCATGCAAGATCTGGCAGCTGCTGGTCTTGGCATATTTAAAGTCATCAACAAACTGAAAATTTTTTATAAAATGCTGCCCAATGATAACCTTCAGCAGAAGCTGGCCAAATATAACATCTCTGTGCAAGACTACAGATCAACCTTCCTGAAGGATGATGACAAGCTTACTGCAAGCAATATCTTCACAATGTCAGAGGGTCATCCATTTCAAGCTGAACTCAATGCCTTTAGAGAGAGAGCAACATTGCCACCATTGCTTTAGTTGAAAAGAATGTTGAAATAATATTGTTACATGAAATTATTATGAAAACTTTAATAGAGATTTAATTGAGAGAAATTGAGAATACATGTAGCTTTCAATAGATATTTATTTAAGGAAATTGAGAATACCGTTAAATAGACATTTATTTAAGAGAAATTATGAAAGACGTTGTGTAGGTCCAGAAAATATCTGTACTACCCCCCACAGAAGGGATTAGAAATTCCTGGACAGGAGGGTGGGGTCTCAGAGACCCAAAAATTTAAAGCAATGTATGAAGCTGAATTGGAATTTCCAGGGGTTGGTGGGGTTTTAGGGAAGATGCCTTTCATTCTTGGGATATTGATATTTTCTGGAACTACACATTCACTTGAGAGAAATTATGAATACCTGTAAATTGAGACATTTAATTGAAAGAAATTATGAACTACTTTTGGATAGAAACTGAGAAATTATAAAAACCTAAAAATAGAGACATTTTAGAGAAAGAAAGTAAAGAGACATTTATTTAAAAGAAAATAGTTGAATACCAAACAAAAACAATGTTTGTTATAAAATGTTACAGTTTTAAAATATGCTTGAATAATACAATGCAGAGACCTGACACTTAACATGTTATTCATTACAGATTATTTCTTGCTACCAACACATTCTTCTAGCAGGTATGGCCATTTGAAATCCCATTTATACAGTTCTGGTTGTCAAGTTGAATCTTTGTTAAAACTGCAACAGGCATAATTGATAAAGATGTTTTTATTTAAGTTACAGTTAAAATGCTATATGTATTATGCATTATGCAACCAAACAATGAAACAATACCCTTGATTCAAACTATGGACATGTTTGAATTGAGTGATTTCATAAGGGAAAAAGCAAATATGAAAGTTTAATTCAATTTTTAGAATGTTATACAAAAGTGATTCATTGCTGTCACAATGTGCCTGCATACCATTAACAGGACAATCATTCCAATTACATTTAAATTTTTGTTGCATGGAAAATGCAACATATTGATACATTATGCATTGTCATACTTAAATTTGATAAGAAAATAAACAACTATAATGTATACCACATTATGACAACAAACATTTATGCCTGCTGATTGACTTTGACCATGTCAAAAATCCCAAACAGTTCTGAAATTTGAATTGATTGCCAAAAATTGAAATAGAGACAGAAAGTTGAATTTAAAAATGTTATTGTGCATCATGTGTACTACGGAACCTCCACTTTGGAACATCTATTCATGGCACACCTTGACAAGGAGATGCTTTTCCTGGTCCTGGTAAAATGCCCAGATAAACTTTGTATTTACCACCACTATTACAAGGGCACCTCTATAAGGAGATTGGACACTTGAGTGCTGCAATTGCTTTTCAACCCCCATTAAGGGGACAACTACTAAGCTGCTAATGATTACAATGCCACCAAAGACACTGAGTTGTTCCAGTTTCTGCATGCCTTTCAAAATAAATATGAACACACTTTGTATTTTTACTGTACATTAATTCTGCACATATTGACAGGTTATTGCAGTAGTAATCTACTGGTAGCAAGTCAAATCACAATTTAAAAAAAGTCCAAGGTTCCTATCGAAAGCTTATGTCGTGCATTTTTGGTTGCTTTAATAGATGGCTGCTTCAAAGGGAATACAACTGGCATTTTTGTTTAGGTGGTTAATTATAAACAAAACCCCACACACCCTCTATTCAAGGAACACAGGTATATTAATGGGACACTTCATAGTCCTGGGGATGCCCTCTTAATGGAGGTTCCACCCTATCATTGACAAATCATCAGGTGATTTTCTTGTGCAATCTGGAGAAAATAAACACTCATAGAATTTTCAAAAATATCCCTGCGGGCTTGTGTTACTTTGTGCTTGTTTATTAAAAATTACCTATATAAACAATTACACAAATCATTACTCTTGTAAGGAAGCAAGACACTTTTAGTCAACACAACCAAGGGATGCAATTTAGTATCACTTGCTTCTTAAAAAAATCATACCACACAAGGTGTCCATAATTATATCTATCTCCTGCACTTTAAAGATGCAAGATTCCTTAACAAAACATTCTTGTTGAACCATGAAAATTTTAGTCTACTAAACTATAAGAACCAACTAAGCCTAAAATTTAGTCCCAAATCTCACAGGCCCATCCCCATATCTGATGAAAAATGAACAGTCCACGTAGAGTCAACAAAAATAAGTAACTCAATGGTTTGTTTGTTGTGTCAGAGGCTCAAGGTAAATTTTGATCTACAAAGAAAAACTATTAGGTATGTGTTCATCTTCTTATGACATTGAAAACAGTAACGAGAACTTAATTTAAGGGGATGTCAAGCTGACCTTTCTTGTACATGTATGCATGAACAGGGTTCTAGTAACTATGCACTACTAAAAATGATTTACAGAAAGCAAAACCCTTAATTTTGGCTATGTAAACCAGGAAAGACCAAATGTACATACCAGTCCCATGTAAACACTAGATATTGTCGTCTGAATCAAACTAGTGTCCAGAGTTGTACTGGTCATTATCTAATAACCACCTTAAGATACAAACAGCTGACTCTTAGAGTGACTGTTAGCCCCTTGCGTGCATGCTAAAAATTTCAGCTGTCTGTTGCAGTACTTAATTTAAGGTGATAACAAAGTAAATGTTTATTCCACAGTAGTAGTTTATCCTTGAAAATTCAAATTTATCCATGTGAGGTAAGAGTTACAACTTACTTAATTTTTAATAAAACAGAAAAGATATTTCACTCACTATAGGTTATTCTGCACAAAAACTGGCTTTAGACTCGCATCATTCACTCCCCCAAATTAAGCCGAATTTGTTCCTTTATCAATGCCGCAAACACTTTTTGGCTACTTAACAATTTTGAAAGCTTATGAGCCACTTGTCTTTCTGTTTTCTTGCCCAAACAGTGTTTTATAGCTGTCGGTCTAACAGTGTCAACTACATGATTATACTCTTTGTAAAGGACCTCTGTTTCAAGCTTGTCACTTGCTAAAAGAGCTACTACAAGCACCATCAAAACAAGCTCCTCAAAGAGTGTCCAGTGTACTGTCATTGTTCCACCTGCTTTGAATTCCGTATATGATTTTCCACTTAACCCTTCTGTTGAACTGTCATGATGTCGCCGCTTTCGAGCTGAACATGTAATTGATGCAGAGCCTGATGATACCTTCTTGCCTCTAGGATTATTGCAGTTTATACACTGACAGTATGCACTACACCCCATCACTTTCTGAAAACACTTGCAGCCACTCTTATATTCATGACAGGAAATGCTTCCTGTTTTTTTTTTTTTAGCTCCCTGTCCACACCTGCATGTTATTTGATGCTGGTTACTACACTGAGAAGAAGGTACACTTCTCTGCTGCTCCTCATCTTGCTGTACAGTATTTTGCTGCTCAATGCCATCATAATGGCCAGCAAAGCGCATTTCATAAGCAAGATATATTGGATTGTCACTTAGAGTCCTATCTCTTGGGCAAATTGGCAAAACTGGGAAGTTTAACATTGCTGTGAAGACCACAACTGAGATGCGCAATGCATTGGAGGCAGCAAGAGGCATAGAATTTCCAAGTTCTGATGCAAAGTGGCCATCTTGTAAAAAGGCATTTGCTTCTACTTCATAATCTTGTTCTGAAGTGAGGAAAGGCTCATAGGAAGAGGGATTGGCCAACCACTCTTTCACAATGATTTGTCGTAGTGCCATAGCCATTTGTTTAACATCTGTGTGAGCACCTTTCATTAACCCTAAATTTTCCATATGTGCCTTTGCCTCAGCACTTAAAGTGCCTTTTGCCAACTGCTGCTGTATCATAATTGCTAAAGACACAAAAAAACAATTTCCATCTCCAGGAATTTTGATTCGTTGCAAATTGTTTAAAAGAAGAAATGCATCAAGATCTGTTCCATTATACTGAGCATTACTTGTAACAGTAGATAAGAGACAAAGAACATTTTTAAGGTTTATCAGATCATTAGCACTTCGTGAAATAGATGCCTCACCCTTGATATCTTCCAGGTGTTTACTTAAAAAACTAAAGTTTGATGCTTGCTGAATAACATTGGCAATTTCTGCATTGTTGAGAAAATTAACACAGTCCTCATCATCACTTATGTCACAATTCTGGTCATCCAATAAGAGATTGTCATCATCACTTGATGTATCTGAATGTTCTTCTAGTAAATAGTTAATACAATCAATAGCTTCATCAATGTCTGACAAGTTTTCCCCAAACTCACAGTCTGCTGCTTCTGCATTCTCCTGAATAGTTAGAGAGCCACCAAACTGCTCATCAGTTGTGGAATCCTCAGTCATCACATTGTAAGTTTCCACAGGTTGAATATAGCTAACTTTTTTCCTCTTGTTGGTAAGCTTGCAAGATATTTTCTTTTCATTCCATTTGTAAAAGAATAACCCCAGAAATGCAAGAGCCAATTCTAGGCCGATCCTGGACCGTTTTAGAGACTTGTTTAAACTTTTGTGTATTGCTTCATTTCTATTTGTCCCTCCTGATGGTGGTATTCCAGACAAACAGCCTTTGATGACATGATGTTTCAGGTTATTAATCTCTTTTACTGCACTAGATGACAACAATGGAATGGAATCTATTTCAGCTTTGCTCCACTGCCTCATAAAAATCTCAATATTTTCCAGGATAACTTCTGGTGAGGGGGTGTCCATTGTTCTCTGTTCACCCCTATCCTTTGTATCACGGAAAAGTTGCCTTAAAGAGAGTATCATTTTCCTTTGAAGCTGTGTAACTGTTTCAGTGCAACCTTTCTTTTTAGGGATTTTCTTTACAACTCTTTGTATTGCATGAAAAGGGTCCAATTTTATAGTTACATTGGGAAATATCTTTAATAGCTTTGCACGCCATGAACAGCAATTATCTAAAAAGAAAATTGCTGGCTTTTGTCCTTGTTTATCTAGCCTGTCTTTTACGAGTTGCAAAACATTTTCAATAGATGAAAACTTGGTTCCTTTACACAGCTTCCAGCTTAACACATGTCCCTCCTCATTAAGGACAATAAATAGTGTATCATACAGCTTCACCCATCTCTTATTAAACCAAAATCCAATATTTGCAGACACCTTAAACGTATGATCACAACTTAGCCACTTCCTGGCTGTCATTTGACACATTCTCTTTGTATATAAATGCTCCTTCTCAAAGTAATTCCTGGCTATACAAGAGGCTATGATCTTCTCACCTGGTTGTTGAAATCTTTGGTCAAACTCGGGAAAACAAAGACAAATGTTTGAATTTTTGTTCCATGCAGAGATATAGGCTTCCCTTCGTGAACCATAGGCATCATACATTGTCTGTAGCCAGAGAGTTTGAATTTCACTAATCGTCAACCCAGCATTTGCATGAGAGATAATAAAGCTGTGCAGTTCTCTCGTCACTCCGGCCTTGTGAAATAAGACGAATGGAATAGGCAATATACCTTTAACTTGTGACAAAACATACGGATCGTGGGCAATTATTTGGTGTTTCCGGTCACAAACATATACTCTACTAACTAGTAAGACATTGTTCGTTAAACTGTAAAGGCGACGTGGTTCATCACATTTTGTTCTCCCGTCCTTCCATCTTGTAGCTCTAAGAGACTGATTCATTCCAGAATATTCGAGGCAATTGGGACAACATAAGGTAATATTCGAAGAAACACTTAATGGATCCCATAGTATGATATCATGTACTACATAATCTTCAGGATTATTGGATGTTGGCCTTCTTTGATCACCCCTAATAGCCACACCATGTTGCAACCATATTAAATTCGCATTCGATTCAGATGAATGAATGCTCAAAACAAGCTGTATAAATCTGTAACTTGCTTCCGAAATTGGTATATTGTAAGCGTAGGAGAAGCCCAAGATGTTGAAAGCCACCAAAAGATACACAACTTTGGTAAAACACTTCATTTCTTGTGATAAAACTACGATTTTATTAACCCGTTCGACACACAGCCGATCTCTGACTAATGGGAAATACCACTGGCGAAAGTATATGTGAGCCTGCACAATCTCGCTTTTTACTTCCGCTTGAACCGGAAATGAAGAAAATAACATGGAACCAAGAGAACCAGAAGAACCAAGAGAACCAGAAGAACCAAGAGAACCACGAGAACCACGAGAACCACGAGAACCACGAGAACCACGAGAACCACGAGAACCAGAAGAACCAAGAGAACCAGAAGAACCAGAAGAACCAAGAGAACCACGATAACCACAAGAACCAGAAATACACAATCACCGTTACTGAGAGTTATATTACGTGAAGTCTGATAGTATAAGAACCACGAGAACCAGAGAACTACCGAGAACTACACAATTACCGTTTTATCAGTATTATATTTATGCGAAGTCCGATGGTAAGCGACTCATGACGTCAGCTGTGGCTATTACACCGGAGATCAGCCATGTTTTGTTATGTCACGCATGGTTCTATTTATTTACATTAAATTCAACTTATCTGTGATTTGTTGTTACTTTCAATTAAACGACCAATAACAACTGAGTAAATTGGACTTAATGAATATGTTTATTCATAACCTACTTTTTGGTTGCATGTTTCCCGAGAGGGAAGCTCCTTTTGTTTTCGGTTTATGTTAATTCATCTCAGTTAACGACACGCGTGGAGTACTTTGCAATTATTAGGTCTCGGCTTATAGCCGAATGTTTTGTGTTTTATTTATTATTTTATTTATTTTTATTTCAATGCAACAGCTGCTGACATGAAAAAGTTTAGGGTCTCGGCTTATAGGCAAATAAATACGGTAAAAATACTATTAAAAATACAATTCACAATCAATACGAGTTAAGATTAAATTAAAAATGACCAAAAAAATATTTACAATGATAAAAAACTTGTACACCACATTTGTGTTGTGGCATTATCTGATTCTATTCAAAGTTTTAAAGTTTTAATTTTGAAAATTCTCAGCATTTCATAAACACACAGTTCTTTGGGGAGGTCATTCCATTCCTTTGCAGCAGCATACTTGAATGTTGACTGGCCCATAGCTGTTTTGTATCTTGGGAGATGAAGTTCCCTACTATCTCTGCGGGCTTTGCGGCAAAGTTCTGATCTCAATACAAACTACCCCTGAAGTTACCTGGCACAGTGATAATCATCTACGATTTTATATTCTAGTTGGAGACGTAAATAATGGCACCTGTTAAATATTGTTAACAGGCCAAGTCTCTCCCTCATTGACTGTGTACTCATTGCTTCGTTTTGCAACCTTTCCAGAAAATCGGAGTTCTTCTTGGTGCAAAAACCCCATACGATACAGTCATAGTCTAAAATAGGTGAAATTGTCGTTTTGTAAACGTCAGATTCGGGTGTGTGGATGATGTCACACTTCTTTGCTAATTGAATTAACTCCTGTGAAACTAAACAAATCTAAGCTGCAATGAATTTTAAACGATTTAGTTCTCCACGTAAAACACTGCATATCATTGTTCAGGATTCGCCATATATCACTAGGGTTCTACATATCAAAGCGTGTTAATTTCTTGAATGACAGCTGCCTTTTTAGACACAGGATTTCCGCCTCTTTTACCATTTGGAGTGAGTGCGCAATTGAAATCTCCACCAATTACAATTGTATCTTGCGCGAATTCCTCGAGTTGTTGGTATAGTCTTTTGAAAAAAGAAACTTGCTGAGCGACATCGTTAGGCGCGTAAATGTTGACGAGAACAATAGCTTTCTCTTCAAGTGACAATTTTAAAATAATGAACCTTCCTTGTTTGTCTGGAATGAATTTTTCAACTTTGAAATTCACAGAGGGATTAATTAGTGTGATGATACCTTTACTGCGGTTTGTGCCGTGGCTAAAGAAAGCTTTGCCACCCCGTTCGTTTTCCCAGATTTTTGGAGCAGTATGATTCTTGCAAAAATATGATATGATGATCTGGGAGCTTGGTGAGCTTTTTGTCTACAACCTTAAACACGGAGCGATCCTATAAATGGAGGCTGAGCGGCTCAGCCCATCAATCACAAATTGGAATACTCTGCTTTGATTGGCTTATTCACCCAGGCGTGTCGTACTCCCGCGAAATTCGCACGAAGTAATTTTTCAGGCGACCGCACAAGGGAAGGTTTGCTTCTCGGCTTTGTGAAAAGTTAAGCGAAAACAACAAAAATGGCATCTACAGAAGAAGAATTTAGACAGGTATCGTACTTCATATACATGCATTTTAACACCTTTTTTGTTGTTTCACTTGTGAAAGCATATCGATTGTTTTGGAGTTTGTTACTCAACGTAAATGCCGTGTTTTAGGTTGTACTTCTAATGCCAGTCACTGAAATGGAATCTCTGCGTTCTTTTGTGGCCTTCAGCGGCGGGGAGGTTGTCTCTGAAACCAAACCCAGCCGAAGGAAAAGACCAAAAATAACAAAAGATAGCAATGTCCGTGAAGAGGAAGATGCTGGTAAATTTATAAATGTAGCTTGATTTACATGTCGCGTAATTTCAGCCGAGCTTGACAGAAATGTAATTCTTTGTAGATGCCCACGTTCAAACTACAATCAATCGTGAAAATTATCAATGAATGTGTATTTGCATTGTTTCAGTGCATGTTTATAGCGAAATTTGCTTGAATAAAGCTTGAATTGTATTCAACACAACTCGAACACAGGGTAAATATTTGTAGTTCGCTTTCTGTGAGTGTATATAAGCTTCCCTTAGTGTAGAGGTGCATTTTATCACGAGCAAAGATTTTTAGTTTTCCGCTGGACTAAAAAAAGTAGCTTGAGGTTTAATTCAGAAATCCATTTATACTGTTTGTAATAACAATTAATTGCCTTGATCAGTTCATTTACAATGTACCGGTATACTTGCACACACTATGCTTCACATCTGATCTTTCATGTACCGCATGCACATCAAAAGGAAAAAATTCGGTTATTTCTGCCCTCAAAAATGTGGAATGCGCTTGCTATGTAGAAAAGCTGAAGAAATTACGTTCTACATATATTGTAGTCTTCTTTTCTCGTTTGGTTTGTGCCAAATAAAACATAGTTGTAAGTTACTGGTTGGAAGTATTGTATTCTTCCTCGGACAGGGAAATCCCACATTACAGCTTGGGGACATTACGAGAAGCAGGAGTCTCCTGTAATTACTGTCTTCAGCTGCCCTGTATTACGGAAAGTGAAGGGAAGGCTGCTTTTCTTTCTGCCCATGGTGCTCCTCGTCCACAGAATATTTTAAAGAGGTACAAGGATTATAGAGAGTTTTACAGGATGCTAAAAAGGGCCGGCTTATGGGAAAATTCCCTGTATCTGGACCGCAAACATGAACTGGGTATTTTCATTGAAGATGTAAGGGAGGTCCTTCCCAACTGTGTTGTGGCTGATGTGAGAAAGAGGTGGCCAAATCCTCCCGACATGCCATGCAAGGGGCATGTGCCAACTCTGTAACTGATAAAAAACAAAAAAAAACAAAAACAAAAATAAAAAAAATAAATAAAAAATAAACAAAACAAAAAATTGAAATGTTTTTATAGCAGTCATAGAACTAGTCACGTACTTGACTGAATCAGTTTTGTATGCTAATTTTCATAACTTGAAATCTTTGCCATCCTATTGCTATAGCATAACCCAGTGAACATTCTATTGACCAAATACTGATAAAAGTAATATTATCATTAATTTTTTGGAATAACTTTTGACCTCAGTGCCAGCCAAAATGCAGTATACACTGTCAGTGTAGGGGAGCCTACTACCAATGAATTGTAGGTGCCTGTGTAGGCAATTAGCGTGGCATAATCTTTTGTATGTTATATCCCAGTAGCCTTTGGGTGCACAGTACTCAGACCTCATGGCCCGCTTGATTAAAACTGTTAGATTGATGCTTTTTAATAGTCTGTCACTGGGTTATGCTAAGTATAGATGGTAGACCTTTGAGTAGACCGTTTTGGGACTGCTTTTTTTCCCCTTGTAACATCTGTATACAGGCTGAGAAGCAAAGACTGGAGGGGTATATATATTAATAAAATTGTTCTGATGTTTATGGAAATTGGCCCTCCATTTGCTATACTTCAATCAAAACGAGGACTGCATACAATTCAAATGTTGTTAGAAGAGAATTGCAAGAAGTTTGTCTGTAAGTGGAACCCTTAGGCAAAGAATTCAAAGTTGCTTAATCTGTTTTAAAAAAATTATCAGTCAAAAAATTCAATAACTGTCTTGCATCTCACAAAGTGGCTACTGTATAATTTCCATTAACATACAGAAGGATAACCCTTAGGCAATTTAGCATTTGCTTGGTGTAGCTGAAAATTAAATGCTACACTTTTCACCAGTTAAAGGTATAAAATGTAGCCCAGATATTTTCCTTGAATGAAAAGGTTTTGGGTTTTAGAACCCTGAAGGGTGCCACACGATCTGGCCTCTTGATGCTCTGGTATGTTTGGGTTGTATACACATCTCTGTCAACATTCTCATTCTGGAAAAGAAACAGCAATGATCAGCAATAAATTTCTTTGTTTGACAGCAAGTACATAGAGTCTGAGTTATGTATGTTTACCCAGTCAAGGCATGCAAGATGTACCCGCATGTTGTAAACTTTATCATTGAAATGGATTCTCTTCGGCACATAAATTAACAGGCAGTTGTGGAAGCTCTCTATGTAGTAGGTATCTCGACACTGAAATAACAGACAAACAAACAAACAAACAAAAAAAGAATAAAATGAAAAATCACAAAAATGAGGATGCTTATTGTTTTTTATGTGAAGTGTGCTTTTGATGTACATACCTTGGCAAAGTCTTCAGCATGTTTGTAAATACTAGTTGACATTATGGCTTTCAGCAGGGCCTGCGCAGCATTAGGATTCTTAATTAACCTCTTTGTGGGAACATAATCCTCCTGTGTTCTACATCTGGATTCTTGATTACACTCCCTGTGATTACCCTTGGTCAAAAGGTGATGAAAGAGATTATGAAAAATACATTTTATAATAAATGATTTCATTTAAAATTATTACAAAAGAAAATGTTGAAGCCAAATGCTCTCTCAAAAAGGGAAGGGGATGCATGCATGATTAGCAAATGTGACAAGATCAGCATCATAAGTATAATCACCCAGCAATTGAATATTGAAATTAAACATTAAATATTAAATTATTAAATTTTACCTTGTAATGTTCCACAATATTCCTCAGCTGACTCCTTAGCTTTTCTGCATCCCCTCCACAGTTCTTCATTGCATAATAACAATGTGTTTTGATGCTTTTTACTGGAAATTTATAGTTAGAAAATCATTAGTTCCCTTTATTTTTATTCAGTTTGTGACTCAAACTTTTTTCTTACCTTTGTCTGACAACTCTGTGAACCAGATTTTTCCTTCTGTTGACAATGTTCCCTGGGCCACCTTGGTTATGGCTTTTTTAACACTCTTGCCCCCTGTAAGGGATTGTTATTCTTATTTCACTTGTTATACTTATGTTATACTTATTTAATTAATTCTCAGAATATTGCTCTCTTACCATGCCAGGTGTCAAATGAGTTGGATATCCCACGACTACATAGGTCATTTTTTATCCCAACTACAGTGTCATGGCTAACCTCCGTGATGTTGAGACCTGGTGAATAACAAGAGCTGAATATCATGACATAAAGCGTGGGGGGATAGTAAGAGAAACCTTTGTTTTTTAACAGGATGTGCCACACCCACATTTCTAGACAGAGATCATGGAAGTGTTAGTTCCTAGCCAATGTCATATCTAGGTGGGCTGTAATGATCTGGTGTGAGTCCTTTGATAAATTATTCTCTCAGAAATCATGATATAATTGCTTTTGGCAAATTAATGCAAATCTTATGCTTACCCTCCTCTCCTGTTAGCTTGTCAATGAGTTCAAGGGTCATTGGTTTCTCTCTTGATTGTGCTGCTGATATGTCCTCCTTTGAACGGTTGACTACCCCAACCACTTTGTGATTTCTAAACAGTGGTACAACATTTGAACTTTTTAACAAGCAAACTAAATCAGATGATTTTAACACACAGAGTAAATTAAGGAAAGGAAACTTGTGCTTACGTCATGCTGATGGCAGTGAAACTGCAATAAACCTGCAAGACTCCTGGCCTTGAATAATAACACCACAAACCAAATAAAAAGAAAAAGATTTATTGGAGCCGACGTGCTTGGTACTAAGAGTGTGGGTTGAAACTAAAACGGTAAAAAAGCAAAAAAGTTACAAGTTGCGATTAAGGTAAATTAGAGTAAAGAAATAACAAAACTGCAAAACGAGGACTGTGAAGTACACTTACATTGTTTTGGCCAGAGAAAACTTCTGTAAAGAGGACTGCGAATAACACGAAGAGGCTAGAAACAAACTAAACAGAACTGCGCTAAGCGCGGACCAAACTGAACTCACAAACTGTACTGACAAACTACGATATGAAAATACGCTAGAACATGCGGAAAATAAAACTATAGAAAGGCGCTAATGAAGATGAAACAGCACAGAAACGCTAACGAGGGCACGAAAACTGACAGAAAGAGATAAACACCTAAATTAACGCCAAAAAAGAAGACTAAACAAATGGACGAAAAGAAGTATAAACTAATTTGCGTACGCAAAGGAAAAACAAATTAGGCAAGAACGAATAATCAAAAAAAATGTTACACTTGGATCTAACAGGCAGTGACTGTAGTGTGATACGCCGCACGTGCAGAATCATGCCTAGCATCTACCATCACACCCTACGTTTTCAAAGGTGTAACATTTTAAATTGTTGGCAAGTATTTTAAGAAATAAATGGCAATTAATCTTAAGGTACGATAGACTTGCTTACTGCACCATCTACTGCATATGCAGCATCTGCTTTAATTTCCTCTACAACCTCGACAATACTGTAATCAACCATCATATCCACTGCCTCGCAGTACCTCATTTCATCATAAACTACAAAAAAAATATAAATTTACCAATATTACAACAATAAGTGGATGTGGTGGACTTGGGGATGTATTCTAAAGTAAACTTCTGTTAGACTTATTATCAAGCAGAAACAAAAGTTAGGTAGGTGTACACCATTTCACTGACTGATATAATTCAGCATCATGTATGTAGCTACAGCCAAGTTTTTATTTTCATTTTCATCTTCAGACATAGGACATGGGCCAAGAGGGAGGATGCTCTTTATTGTTATTATTATAAAATCACTAAAATCAATGTAGTTTTTGTCATCATCAATTAATATTTGGTGCCTTATTTGCCTTATTTGGTGGTGTTTAGTTTACCTATATTCGTACAGCCCCTAACAGGGACTCCTAACTGCTGCAGTAATTCTAATGTAATCAGTGTGCTTACCACTTGATATGTAGTGTTCATTCAAAAACCCCAGATTTGCTCCCCTGCAGAAACTCTCATACTGTGACGCAAGTAGTCCTGCACTAGTAAAACCATGAGCCATTCTGTAGTATGTAGATGGAGGGTGGAATAGATAAAATCATTCTTACAATAAAACAGTAAAGAGAAAAATGAATTTTAGGAATAATATTGATAACCGAGAAATGAAAGCCCTTACCTGAGGTTTGCATAGTACTTTCCGGCAAAAATGGACGAGGAAAACCATTCAAGAGTGTGCCCTTCTTCTGCTTTACATTCTACTGTCTAAACCATTTGCCTCGGTTTTGGCATTATGTACAAGCCAGTTGTCTACTAAAATTTCCATAAAACAAGCGTTTGCTGCAGGTACGAGTTTGTTATCCAAATGCAGCTCTTTTTTGATGGATGCAATTTTCATCTTCAGCGACTCCAGGCGGCCTTCTTCTTCTTTCTTTAACTCTATTT